CAAGACACATCATAATTAAAATGCCAAAGGTTAAAGACAAAGAGAGAATCTTAAAAGCAGCAGGAGAAAAGCAATTAGTTACCTACAAGGGAGCACCCATACGACTGTCAGCTGATTTCTCAACAGAAACTTTGCAGGCCAGGAGGGAGTGGCAAGAAATATTCAAAGTAATGAAAAGCAAGAACCTACAACCAAGATTACTCTATCCAGCAAAGCTATCATTTAGAATTGAAGGTCAGATAAAGAGCTTCTCAGAGGAGGAAAAGCTAAAGGAGTTCATCACCACCAGACTAGTACTACATGAAATGTTGAAGTGTCTTCTTTAAGAAGAAGCTAATGAACAAAAGAATCAGACAAACTAAATGGATCCAGAGACATTGACACATGCAACAGACAATCATATTTCAGAGGGAAGAGGGAAGGGAGGTGGAGGGTGGGAGATTAACCGAAGAAGTTATATGCATGTATGCATAACCTATGGACACGGACAATGATGGGATGAAGGCCTGGGGAAGAGGTGGGAGTGAGGTGGAGGGGGTCAATGGTGGAAAAATAGAACACCTGTAGTCCTTTTAAGAATAAAGATAAATTTTTTTAAAAAGAGGGTAACACTGGGGATCCTTGAGGTGATGGAACTGTTGAATCTTAACTGAGAAACACACACACACACACACACACACACACACACACACACACACACAAATGAGTGCATGTAAAACTGGTGAAATTTGAATAAGGTCAATGGACTATATATGAATATCAATTTCCTGGTCATGATGTTTTACTACAGTTATGCAAGATGGGAGAAACTGGGTAAAGGGTATATGGGTTATATCTGTATTATTTCTTATAACTGTGTGAGAACCTGCAATTATCTCAAAATGAAAAGTAAAAAACTCGAACAATCCTCTCTTTTCTCAAAATCACCCCATCAGCCTCTGGATCAAGTAAACCCACACTCTGAAATAAAACATAACCTGTTCCAGCTGCTCCTATATACTTTTTCCTTGAGACATTTTCTGCCAAGAACTGATTGCAACAGACAGGAGTGAGACGATCGGCCTAAAATGAAAGAACCCCCCCC